TATATATATATATATATATATATATATATATATACATGTATATATCTGTGTATGTGTTTATTTTTTTTAAAGTGTTCACGTGACTTCATATAATTTTTTTTTAATTGGAGCTGTTTTGAGATGACAATAATTTACTTTGGATTTGGCCCAATTTCGACTAGCTGTTAACTCGACAATTTGTTCAGGATTAAACTCTGTTTTTCCAAACTGAGGTAATTCAAAAAGTTGTCACAAACAGGTAAGATCTTGATTGTTCATAGCCATTCTATAGAACCACAGAAGATCTGAATGAATGCTTGATGTGTTCACTACAGCTGCTCTACAGTTGTACTTTGGTACTGTAACTGTAAGCGTTACAAAACACTTAAGAAGGAGGCCTCATGCGTCTCCTATGAAAAATTGACCTTCTCAGCACTGACTCCCTTCTGGCTCCTGGTGAACTTGCTGAGCAGCAGGTGGTAGTAAGCCATGATGTTGGAGGGCCTGTTGTTGGTGAGAGTGTGGACGATTTCAGGGAGGGAATAACCCAAAGTCTCTGTCATGTCAGCCAGCACAGACGAGTTGAGATCTTCAGGACATAACCTGGAAAATAAAAAAGAGAGGAATGGAAAAACACTTTCAAACAGTGATAAAAAAAAAGAGGAGCAGAGATGGATTTACGGAGTTGGAATGACTTAAAGCTGAATGATGATGGCTGAGAGCAGAGCAGAACGGGAACACTTCCTCTATCGCTCATGTGGATTGGACAAAACTGCCTGACAGAGCTGCACATGATTGCATTTCCACAATGCGTGAAGTGATAAAAGGGTTTTAGTCATGCTGTAATATTCAGAGCTGTTACTCTGCAGACCACAATAATTTTCATTTTATTTGAAAATGTGCAGGGATTTTCATCTTGACTGTGATGTTTGCTGCAAAACATTCCCTGAGGAGGAGCTGCATGTGTCCTTCCATGCTTATGATGTAAAAACACGACCGCAATCTCTGAACTTTTCCTGTTCAGAAAAGTGGTATCATACTTAGATGTTATTTCAGTTTTTTCAGCTTATCACTTCTGGATATAAGTATAAACGAGTTAACCAGGCAGAATGATGCCGTCCAGAACGTAGGGCTGAACAATTAATTGCATTTATGATAATATTGCGATATGATAAAACAAGATTTTCTAATCGCAAAGGCTGCAATTTGACTGGTCACGTGGTCTGGTTACGTGACTTGTGAGTGAGCAGAGCAGGGAGCGGGACATGTCAACACTGCATTTTAACCAGTTGCACAATGGTGTCAGGCTCGACAGAAGCTGATACATCTGTAAGTTTGGTACCAAAGAGCGGCAGCACGTCCGTTGTTTGGAATTATTTTGTCTATAAAAAGAAGACGCTGCACAAAGACATGTATTGAGCAGAACCTGCCATGCTGCTGTTGCTACCTCTCAAGGTAACACCACAAATCTTTATCTTTACAAAGTCATTTATGATAGTTGCATGGCTACAATGTCAACGACCAGTGCTTCACCTTCAAGTAAGCAAAGTAGCAGCGGACAGGGATCACTGACTGAACTGTTTGAAGGTATTACTCTGTATGAACATGATTCAAAACAGCACACAGAAATAACTCAAGCACCAACAGAGTTCATAGTGAAAGACATGATGCCCATTAATACAGTGACCAGGCCTGAGTTCACAGCTTTGGTAAACAACATGGATAAGTGGCACATAATGCCCTCGTGCACACATTTTAGCCAAGTTGCTATCCAGGAGCTACATTGCAACAGAAACAGATTCATTTATTGCTTGTGTTTGTTGAAAAATACACGAGAAGACATTGAAAAATAATGGCATATTAAATCGTAGTCGCAATACTGAGGTAAAAAAAATCGCAATAAGAATATTTTCCAAAATTCTGCGGCCCTGCCAAAACGTCACCTGTTTTTATGAGACAAGGTGTGTAATGGCTTCTTGGCAAAACCTTCATTGATCCATTTCTTCTCCATTGCTGCTCTGACACTGGGTCTCTTATCTGGATCTGGTTCCAGGAGAGACGTCACAAAAGACATGGCACCTGCAGCACAAATAAAAACAAAGCAAAACCCCATTTTCATTAAGCATAATTTATATTTCTGTTTTAAATGTCATCAGTGTTTTTGATCTTGGAATCACTTTTAAAGTAACACATTATGATGAAAACTACTGTAAAGTTAAACGCTGCCAATGGCGTCTCTAAAGGAGGAGTAAGGAGGCGGTAATAGCAGCTCCTCTAAGGCCCTATCCGGTATCGTTGGAAATATTTTGATGATGATTGTGACAAAGTTATACGTTAAGACAGAAATGCTGTGATCAAAATCCCTGTTGATGAGACCGCAAACAACAACAGCAAAAGTAACAGTTTGATCAGCTATAGTTTCCAGGTCACTAACTGATGCTGCAATCTCTATATTTTAACATGTGCACAAACACTTTGTCACAGTTACATGAAAAATGGTGATTACATGTTTGTTTGTTTGGATCGCATACACGTACTGTGTCAGAAGCTCTTTAAATTGGAAACAGTGAGCAGCACAAACAGCACTCTGCTATCGGCCATTGTTATTGTTGTTCATCTACGCATGCAGGTGCAGAAAGACTGCGGACAGCAGCTGTCTGCATGTGCACGTGTGGGATTTTAACGTCATTTTCCTTTGACTTAATACTGGAGGTTTGCCAAAGACTTTCACTCTGGGACCAGAATTCAAAATATTTAGCATCAGCGAAAACAACAATTATTATCATGTACAGTGCATGAACACCAAAAGACAACAGAAATGTATTGGTTTAATGTAAAAGTGGCACTGTATGAGCAGAGCCCAAATTTGCTGGCTCCCCCTCTGGCCACTCCTGGTCAGATAGTCATAATGTAGCACTGTGCTATATTATTTTAAAATCTGTCACAAAGCAGTGTTTTTGAATTTCCTAATCCATTGTGTATGTAATCTGTGTTTGGAGTAGTGTTTGAACACCTCACCACCATTTTAATGTAATCAGATGTTGGTATATTCATGTTACCCTGTCAGTACCAAGCAGGGATCCGATGGGTTTCTTGTGCATGTGTTCTGTATTAAAGTAAGTGAACACACCGTCAACATGAGGTGCTTAATTTAATGTATTAGCATTATGCTAGTTGGAGCAAGACATGGACATGGAACAGTCTGCGCCAAGTTTCTGAGTACATATGGATGTTACTGTATATGAGCATGTGTACTTTGAACATGTGTAATTAAATCTGTAAACTCATTTGGGCTTCATTACAATTTTAAGCAGTGTGCTCCAAGGGATTGCTGCACAACCTGCAGAATTAGGAGTGATTTCTGTATAAGCCTGGGCCCAGCTGTGTATCACAGATGGACAGAGGTCCCAGATGGGTTCTGCAGCATCACACTCATCTGGGAACAAATGTTTCTAAATTTTATTTTTGTTATTTGAAGATTATTATTGTTTGAATTCATTTTTTGGTAAAAAGGGGCGATAGATAGGATATTAGGCGAAGGATATTATAAGATTTTTTTCTTCTTTCTGCTGCCTTTCATTTTATTTTGTGATTGTATTTCTTATTGTGTATACAATTATTTTGTTTGTTTAAAAAAATGAATAAACTTCATAATAATAATAATAAGTAGGAGAATTGCTACAGAACCTCACTGACCTACACACAGAGAGGCCAGTAAATAAAAGGCCAGACTGATGCTGGCAGATCCTGTCCACCCACTTCATGGTGAGTTTAGGTTACTTCTTCTTAAGCTTCTTTATGTGTGGTTGTGATTTTTAGAGTAGAGGTTTTGGTATGTTGATGACTTGTCATGTCTGGATGTTTTTTTCATGTGTACTGGTTGAGAAACAAATCACCCCCAGGGGAAAATAAAGATTTTTGAATATCAACTAGGATAGTTTTTATTGAGTTTTGTTTAATATAGCACAGATCCACTTTATATCCATCTTGGACTAACTGTTAGCTCATCAGTGTATTCTGTAGTTTGTTCAAAGGGCGATCTACAACAAGTAATATATGATTTGTTATAACATTTCCACCGTTCCACACTTCAAAAACATTTAAACTATATCTATTCTTTACATGTAATGTATAAATTTTACATTTCTTAGGGCAACCTGAAGTAAATGCAGCTGGTTTGCATATAACAATAGTCCAATAACAGTGCTGAAGACATTAGAAAACACAAACAACAAGATTCACACAAACTATAGTTAAAGAACTAAAGCAGAAGACTCACACAGAGCTGTGAAACAAACACTGTTTTAATCTTGTCACAGTTTCAGGACATTAAAGTCGTGCTGGTTTTCCCTACAGTAACCGGAGCTTTGTTTATATCAACACGATCGAGTGACGGTGAGCCAGAGTCACCAAAATAAAGTAGTAGAAACTGAGATGCTGACCTGAAGGTTTTCTTAGTAGAGTAAAGGTAGAAAAAAAGAATGAAACATAAATTATTCTTCCGTTTTGTGGCATGTATTTAGAGTGTAAGAATTTTGAATGAGAATAGTTTATGATGGATTGATGTGCCACTTTTTTAGACTTTTGTTGTGACAATCACCTGTGATGTACTGGAGACCTGTCCAGGATGTCCCCCGCCTCTTGCACAGTGCCTAGTGGATATGGGCACCTGTGACCCCCTTGACCCCAAAAGGAAGAAGCGGGTAAAGATAATGGATGGATGATGGATGGATGGATTGTAACAATCACACCCTGTTCACATCTACATTACAGCACCATCAATAATTCATAATGGGATAAAGCAATGTAATGGTATAAACACGGATAATGGTGCCAATGAATACGTATCAAAGCACTCATTAATATTTGGTAAGTTTATTGTCAGGGAATTTTGGTCAAGGTTTATGGATGTTTTTAACTACTATGGCTGAGAAAGTTAACTGTCCATGAACCATGTGTTTAAGTTAGCAGAGATATATATTCTGTGTCAGAGAGAGCTGAATGAGGAGCTCATTTGATCCTGCATGTGCAGCTGTGTGGCCAAGGTCACCAGTCTGCCCGTGAGCCAGGAGCTGAGAAGCTTATAAAAACAAGCCTCACACACTGCCCGTGGCAGATTCTGGGCTCCACGCATGTAGAACATCTGTACATCTGTGTAACCTGTTGTGAAAATCTGTTGCAAGTTAAACCGGTTAAAAATCTTCTCCTGTCTTTGAGTGTAGCTTCTTTAAGTAAGTAAAATGAATAGAGAATATTTTTATCCAACATTTATTTCACCATTTCTGTCATGATTTGAGTTTGCTACTCATTCAGAGTTAAAAAAAACCAACAATTAACAGATATAACACAGGTCCCGTATTTCTTCATTATGGGTTTAACAGGACTCCTGAGGATGTTTAGGAAATCTTTTAGTAAATCCCTGACTTGTACTTTTTAGTACTCTTTTTTTCCAAGTTGAATTTGGACAGAGCTGAATATTCATGCAACCAATTATTTTATAAGACATTTGTATTTAATTGGAATTGCTCTGTGGTAATTAGATTTGACTTAAAAATTGAAGATTTTTTAAAAATTCTTATATTAAAAAAAGTTAATTTATACTGCAGTAGTCCCTTGTTTATCGCGGGGGAGCCATACCCTGAATCCCAGTGATAAGTGAAAAACCATGAAGTAGAAATAGTAGTACAAGTAGTAAATAGTAATTTATTGTAGTATATATGTATACATCGGTATATATATTAAGGTGTGTAAACCCTTCCCACACTCTTCCTATATTCTAAACAATGTTTCTAAACTCTAAGTGCTCTAAAAGAGCACAACATGTCACGATCTCAGCTCTCTGCCACCTGCCAGTGCTCTCGGCCACGCCCACTTCTCCACTGCAGAGCAGAGATATGACACACTGTAGGAGGAAGCTTCTCCTGCAGTGTGGGCTGCACACAGGTGCAGCAGGTGCTAAATAATTTAAAACAATTTATTTTAAATAAAAATTCCATGCCTGTTTTGCGGCTCATCCATCAATCAGCCAATTGTGTGTCATGTCCAATCTTACTTTGAAAAACCACGATAGAGCGAGTCCACGAAAAACGAACCGTGAAGTAGTGAGGACTACTGTAACTACTACTGTAACTACTGTAATTACTACTGTAACTTTTCAGGTCTCTCTTGTAAATGAGTCCTAGACGCTCAATGGGATTTTCCTGTCTAAATAAAGGTTGAATTAATGAAAAAACTATGTTTGATTCATGACAGCAATAAAAGCATAAAGCATCCAAGAAGGTGAATGCTTTATCTAAGCACTGTAACTACAAAAGGAAGTCATTTGGAATGGTGCCAATGCAACTACTGCCAAAAAATCCAAAAGATATGCAATATTTATTCATTAATTTAAGCTCTAACAAAACCCAAACCTTGTTTTAGTGTAGCAGGGGTGGAGCACACAGCACCACTCTTCGAAATATACAAAATGGTTGGCAGAAAAAACACAAAAACATGTTTTGTGTAAAAAATGTAAACTTAGAGCAAAAGCTGTTGGCGACGGGTCGATAGACTTTTGCTGGTCCGGGACACAAAAGATTATATATGCACTCCAATGCGGTCTCCATTGCCAAAAACAAATAAAAATGTGCTCAGGAAACAAAAAATGTCTAATTACGTATCAGATCCCGCCCATTTCTGTCCAAATCACAGAGATGCCTATTCGCATTGGATTAGTATTATCACAGGACCTCAGAGTTCAGCAAAATATAGTAGGTAATTTGCAGAGGAGTTTTAACTTCACAAATTCACATGGCCGATTCACACGGGATTAACAACGCAGAAAATTTCCATAACATGTGGTCCCTAGGTAAAACTAATCCTGTGCAAATAGGGCTTTAGTTGAACTTTTTAGGATAAACTCTTGAAAAAAAATCATAAAACTTAATCTAGTAAAGTGTAAAATCCATTGAAAATCTCCAAATACCTGTGACCCATTTAAACTTTGATTTCTGTCACTGTAGAAAAAGTCAGAGCTGTATCGATCCAAAGAGGGATGAATTGTATAAATTCCATTATCACCATAACATATTTCTATCAAAAGTCATAGCACTTTATTCTTCATTGATTCATACAGCACTCACTTCAAGCGTTGGTTATTGTAGTTTCTGACCAGCTTGAACCAGAAGCAAGAACAGTAAAGAGTTATACAACACACAACTTAATCTAATACACCAAACAAGGAGCCTTTAATTTAGGACATCACTCTGACATCTACCTTTGCTGACGTCCGAGGGGATACTGCTGATTTCTCCATTGACCATCTTCTGGTGCAGCTGTTTAATGTTGAACGGCTCAACAGTGAAGGGTAGAGTCCCTGTCAGCATGGCAAACATGCTCACACCTCTGCAGACACAGAGAAACTGTGAGATAAATAAAGAAATGCAAAGTTTTAAAAGCTTTCAGTAGTGAGGCTTTATCACGTACATGGACCAGACGTCCACTTTGGGACCATACTTCTTGTGAGCCAGCAGCTCTGGGGCAGCGTAGGCAGGACTTCCACACTGGGTGCTGAGGAGCTCCGGAGACAAAGAGTCAGTCTTCAGAGTGTTACTCAGGCCAAAGTCTGTGGGAATTAACATCATTTTTCCATCAAGGTTTTATTATTGACCTCTAAACTGTTCCAACTTTTGGTATCAGTTTTAAAGTCAACACACCTACAATCTTTATGTTGTTATGCTCATCCAGGAGGAAGTTTTCAATCTTTAAATCTCTACAAAAAGAAAGAGACACATGGGTTAGTACGCAAAGACAAAAACAACAACAACAACAAAAGTTTCTAGAGTTTTATTTAAGAGCTGTGGGCATAATCCTATTCGGGATTTGACTGGTATTCGTTCACTACAAAAGAACGATTTCCAGTATGCCAGGGTGCTACACCAGTTTAGAAACTCATGCAGTGTATGATTTGTCTTACTCAACATTTTTCTGTATATATGGACAAAAAGATGAGATGGGACAGACCCCCAGAAGTAACAGATTGTAGGAGTTGTGGTGTTGTCCCTGGTGTTGTGTTTATGACTGTGTTCCCCCTGATTCTCTGTTTCTATTTATAGGGTTTATGCTTTCCTAATACCTAGCCCCATCTTGTGCTGTGTTCTTGTCTTGCATCCTCTGTCCCCTTCTCTGGCATCTGTGATTACTCACAGGTGTCATCACTTGGTCTAATTGGTATTTCATGTATATAAGTATGTGTCTCAATGTTAGTCCTTGTCCTAGTATTGTTGTATGTCCACTGGTGGTGATCTGTCTGTCATGTAAGTACCTCCTGTTTATTCATGTTTATTTTGCTGCCCTGTCAGCTCTTTTGCTTTGTTAATAAATTCCTTATTTTACATTATCCTGAGTCCTCGCCTGCCTGCCAGCACCACTGGGTTCACCAGCACCACTTTGTGACACACAAAACCTCCAAATTAAATCTAGGTTTGGCAAGAGCTCAAGTCTTAAAACTGTTGACTGAAAGTTTGGTAATTTGGGGGATTAGTTTGTCCAAAACCAACCAGCCACTTTAAAAACCTCCAACTGTCAAGACGTTTAGTTGAAGTCAACCTGCTAATAATCCTGTTTTATCCTCAATTGACCTTTACTGAGGTATATTTTCCACATTTAAGTTAAAAGTGGTAATGTACCATCACCGTACGAGCAATAAAACCACTGGTGAAATGAAAATCTACAGTTAAAAGTGAGAGACCCTATAAACCAGCCAGCCATGTTCCTTTCATCTGCTTTCATCTAAGCAGCAGACACTCAAAAATCTAGGGAACCTCGAGCAACCACAAAGAATTTCAAAAGAAAAAAGAGTTGAGAAAAACTGCCAGAAAGAGCAGGGGTTTTCATAAACGCAGCAAACCTATTGAACGTGGGTGGCAGGAAATGTGTTTAAGTGCAAATTTTCCATTTATTTACAGTTTAGTCGTGGACAATGGGCTATGGGACTGTGTTAGTGTGTGTGTGTGGGAATGTATAACACAGAGAGGTGTTGTCTAGGAGCTGAAAGCTGTGTCGTTGAGGGACTTCATTAGAGAGGAAGTCCATGATGTTGTGATGATGTGTGAACCATGGCGCCGGCACAGAATGATGAGGTCATTGCCTGGTAATCACTTTCCCACCTTTAGACGCGCCAAGGTCTTTAACCGAAGCACAGCACTGTGCATACTGTGTGTGTGTGTGTGAGAGGATACGTGTGTGGGCATTGATTATCTGACATTTATTTCTACTTCCAAAGCTGGTAATTTTTCGCTAACTCCTCCAGTTGAAAAAGAGCGTGATAAATGTTCATGTAAATGTTATAGCCAATCTGTGATTTCTAAGGTCTGTGGACTTTGGCAGCCATCTTCAATTAGGTTAACTCCAAAAATTAATCAGTTGAAAGTTTTAATTTAAAGCTGTCCGGTGGTTCACTAGTTATTTTGCTAACAGACAAACAGGGTTGACTGCAATAGTTAATGTCAAAGTGTTAAGATGTTATGTATAGCGCTCAGTACGAGTAGGGATTGACACCCAGCTTCAACGACATTCAATTTTAGCTAGAAATTATTGTTTTTCAAGGTCACTTAGCTGTGGTAGCCATCGTGAATTGGATTGGTTTTAATGTTAATCAGTTTTAAATGTACAAATATTGATTATTTTGAGATGTCATTATAATCTGCCCAGTGATTCATGAGAAATTTTTCCAGCAGACACATGAAAACAAGCAGACACTGACAAAACCATTATTTCTTATGTTTTGTTTTTTGGCAGATCAATAATCAGTGCTGTCCTTCGATTTACAAAGGAAACCCAACAGTGTTCAGTCAGGTCATCTGGACGGTTTCTTATTTATGCTAAGACATTTCATCCTTCATCCAAAGAACTTCTTCTATCTGAGGAACCATCACACAAACTGATTCCCACAATCAACATATTCCATAGTGGAACAAAACAGTTTGCTGGTGCTAAGATGGTCTCTGGGGTCGGCCCTCTCCCCCATCAACTCCTCTGAGAGTCATGCCAGAATGGTTCAAAGTGATCTTTTGGATGAAGGACGAAACGTCTCAGCAAATAAAGCAACTGTCCAGGTGACCTGACTGAACGATGTTGGATTTTATACCTGGATTATTGAGCATGAACTTTGGTACATAAACCATTTTCAGATTGTTATTATTTTTCATTTAAAAAAAAAAAGGGTTAGAAAATGTGACAGTTATCTATAAATGATGCTCTTGGTGCTTTTCTTAATGTGTTGCTGATAAGTTGTGCTGTGTGTGTTGTTGTGTGATGTGTTCAGGGACCTGTGCACGATGCCATGTTTGTGCAGGTGTTCCACTGCAGAGAGGATCTGTCGGGTATATCGCCGCACCTCCCTCTCCTCCAGCCTCTTCCTCTCACAGATCCTGTCCATCAGGTCTCCTCCTGCACACAGCTCCATCACCATGTAGTAACTGTTCTCTGTCTCCAGAGTCTGACACAGTTTTACACACAGAGCAGGTTTTATACAACTATTCACCAGCAGGAGATGTACAGCACCACAGTATGTCCACTGATGGCATTGGAAATAAATTTGAGCACTGTTGTGCTTTTCAGTATTTTTACCTCTAGAAGAACTACAATGTGAGGATGTCGGACCATCTGATGAATTCTAGGTTCCCTCTTCATGTTTTTCAGCACGTAGGAGTCTTGGCGTGCTTTTTTCTTGTCTATCACTTTAATGGCTACCTGAAGGCACACAAAAACACAAACTTAATAAATTTTGAAAGATTAATACGTTGGAAAAATGTTAGGAATCAACCCAGTACAGTTTGTGAATGCAGTCACTGTGTTAGTTAATATTATAATGAGGATTCCTACATTTATTAGGATTACTAGATTTTTTTGTTTACAAAGTAATTTTCAGTCAGGTCATCTGGACAGTTTCTTTTTTTTTTTTTGTGCTGAAACCTTTCACTTTCCATCCAGAAGGCTTCATCGGTCAAGGAAACACACAACACAAAACTGATTCTTCCCCCAACAGCTTACTCCAAAGTGAAACAAACCAGTTATGTTGGTGCTAAGATGGTCTCTTTGGCACGCCCCCTCCTCTGGTGCCGGCCCTCTCCCTCGTCGACAGTCATGTCAAACTACAAACTTTAATTTTTCAGTTTAAGAAATTAAATGAGCTTTTTGAAATGCTACCTGAAGTGAGAGAGGCTGAATTTGAGCTTAGTGGTCCTGAAAGAAAATAATTTCCACTTTGAGTTTAAGCATTTTGAAGCGACAATTATTGTTTTTGTTACAAATGGTAAAAAGGTAAAAACTTGTCAATCAATCAATCAATCAATCAATCAATCAATCAATCAATCAATCA